CCTCCCAGCACCAGGATCAGCGGAGCCATGAGGCCTCCCAGCACCGGGATCAGCGTGATGGGGGCAGCGCCCAAACCCCCGATCGCCCTGCGGCTCTGTGTGTGACAGGGTGTGCACCCTAACCGCCCCCGCCACCCCCAGGCCCTGCTCTGTGTGTGACGGGGTAGAGCCATAACCTCCCCATCGGCCCTGCCCTGAGTGTGACAGGGGGCGGTGCCCCAACCCCCCAATTGGCCCTTCCCTGAGCGTGACTGAGGGTGGCATCGCAATCTCCCAATCCGCCCTGCTCTGTGCATGACAGGGGGTGGCGACCCAACTCCCCAATAGGCCCTGCTCTTAGCCCGACCAGGGGCTGCACCTAGGGATTGGGCCTGCCCTCTGCCACCCGGGAGCAGGCCTAAGCCGGCAGGGTGTTATCTCCTGAGGGGTCCCAGACTGCGAGAGGGCACAGGCCGGGCTGAGGGACCCCCCTCCCCCCGTCGTGCACAAATTTTTGTGCACCGGGCCTCTAGTGTTATACATATTAGCTTTATCCTCACAGTAACTGTGTGAGGTAGATAGAAATTATTGCCCTCATTTTAATAAAGTATGCTAATATTGAAAAAGAAAATAAACATCTAGGCTTGGCTTGAAAGAAGCAGAGAATAAGTTTAATAGAGAAGGGAAGGTAACCTCATGTATCTAGCACTTACTGTGTACAGAATAGGACACTGTGTCTCAGAGAGTTAGTGGCTTCCACGAAGTCTCAGGCATACAGTTGACAACCCAACAGAAGGTGGTCTCTTATCTAGATAGTTGCAGCAGCCCCCTGTGCTAGCTAGCTTGCCTACGCCCCTCCAGATCCCCCCTGTCCCCTTCTCCTGCTCATTCTACACCCAAGGAGGCTGCCCCAGCTTGCCTTCTGTTTCCCAGTTGTGTCTAGTCAATAGGGTGTATTAGCAGGAGGTGAGAAAGAGGGAGGGGAGGGAGGCCAAGGTTTTTATGCTCCCCTCCCCAGTTCCATCAACCAAAAGTCTTAGCTCCTGGCCGCATAGAATGCCTCTTCAGGGTTTTGAAAACCTCTCCCTCTTCTGAGAGCCCTGCACTCTGGCCACATCTCAAATCTCCCAGAGTTACAGTAAAGTTGAGCTTGGCCACTTGATAAGGCATCAAGGTTTAGAAATAACTGCCCCTCCGTTTTGTTGTTGGTTCTGATTCAAATGAAGTTGGATAATGGACACATTCTGCTTATCCTACAGTGAATAGCTCCTGGTTCAATGTTTAGAGAGTACCTCTACTCTGGCTCCAGCTCAGAAAGACTAAAGAGTTTTTATGAGAAAAAGCACCTCACTGAGCCACATGTGGTTTCTGATTGATGAGCTTGGTGAAAAATAATGACAGAACATGACATTTCTAAGAAATTCCATAGCTTACATTCATATGCCTCCAGTAAAGGATATACTAGAAGCTAGATGTGTGGCTAGAAAAAATTGCTGGACATGAAGCTACAGTTAAGTTATATTTTTAAAGACAGGTAACGAGTGAGCTTCAATCAAGACAGTGAACAGCTGACGAAGGTCTTGTCCCTGAACTATTTCATTAAGCTAATGGAAGTGGTCTGTTTTGGCACTGCTAGCTAGCTCATTATCCAAGTGAAGTCATTATCCATGGTTTTAGAAGAATGAAGAGGAAATAGAAGCATACTATTTTAAACAGAATTGATACACTGAGTAGTTTTTATGTATGTTGATGCTATAGGCACAAATAAAACCTTTGGTGATCAGGAAATGTAACAGGTACTAACATTTTCAAAGGTGTCAATCTTAAAAGTCTAATGTCATAGATGGGCAATACTTTTTAAAAATTGGTTTCATTGTTTTTTTGTGTTTGAAATGACAAGGTATTCTGGAATCATCATCTTACCTGAAATAATTATTCTATTATTAAATAATTATAGCACTTAATACATGAAAGGAAGATAGAAACAGGTAGTATTTTAAAAAATGTCTTTCTATAACCAGGACATTTCCCTTTTAATTTCTAGCAATACTTCTTCCCTTGAAGTCCACTTTGCCTGATATTAATCTAACTATGCCAGAATTACTTTGATTAGTGTTTGTGTAGTGTCTTTTCTCATCCTTTTATTTTCAACCTTTCTCTATCCTTTTATTTAAATAGCATATAGGTGTTTTTTTAAAATCAGTCTGACAAACTTTGCCTTTTAATTGGATTGTAGACCATTTACATTTAAAATAATTAATATTTAGTTTGAGTCTAACATCTTGCTATTTGTTTTCTATTTGTTCTTTCATACTTTGTTCCTTTATTTCTCACTTCTTGCCTTCTGTGGATTACAGAAACATTTTTAAATTTTATTTTTCTCCTTTATTTGCTTTTTAGCTACATATTCTCACATGTTTCTTTTAGTGGTTACCTTAGAGATCACAATGGCATCCTTCATGTATGATAGTCTACCTTAAATGAGTACTTTTGATTTTACCACTTCCTAAATAGGCAAGAAAGAACCTTTGAAAAATTTAACTGCATTTACTACCTTCCCAGTTTGTGCTGTTGTTATCATGTATTATACTTCTACATTTTACTAACATGTAAAGTCTCTGTCTTATTTCAAGTATTATAGACGTCTCCTAACACTCCTGCTATATTAGCCAGGACAATCTAGCAATTTTAACAATATTTAGATGTCTGAGGCTTAACACAGATTTTTTTTTTAACTTATGCAACGTTCAGTGTAGGTATTCTTGGTTGGGTGGCTCTTCTGGGCACCTCTTCTCAGATTCAGGGGTCCAGATTCCTTTCACTTTGTGACATAAGCATCTTCAACATGAGTTCTCCAGGGTTTTTGTGGAAGGGAGGACAGCATGGTACAGGATTCACTGAACCACCTTGTACCAGAATGACCTACACACTTTCACTCATGTTCCTGTAGCCAGAGATAGTCATATGGCATCACTTAGAGAGTGGGAAAGGCTGACCCCATTGAGCAAATACTTCTCAAAGTCAACTCTATACTACAGGAGGGGCTCACCAATCTTCAGTGGTCAGCCTGCTATTTCAGCTACACTCCTTACCTCCGTCTTACCACACATCCATCCACATGGAATCCACCGTGTAATTGACTCTTCCCCATTAAGCACTCATCAATTACTGCCCACTGCCAACTGAAATAAGCCTAAACCCTTTACCAACGCACCCAAGACCATTTAGGATCCAGCCCTTCCAGCCCCATCTCCAAGGTTTTGTCTTAAGGTTTCAGTCCCATCAACTGCTTCCAGTTGCCGGAAGTTTCATTGTTATTACTTGCCTCTGCACATTGGCTTATGCTCCTCCATCTTTCTGAAAAGTTTCCTCTTTGCTGTGACTAGTGGGCAAATTTCTACCTCTCCTTCAAAGCTTAGTATGGGCATCTTCCTCTGTGACCTTCTGTAGCCCACTTCCTTAAGCGGAGTTGGTCAGTTTCTTTGTGCCACCACTGAGCTTTCAGCAAACCGCCATAGTAGTCCCCATTACACTGAGTTGGATTGTATTTTTACATGTCTATCCCTCCTTTTGACAACTATGAGCTCCTTGAAAACTGGGACAACAAAATGCTTTCTTAGTATCTCCAATGCCTACTACAGTGTCTGCCACGTGATGGATGCTTCATAAATGTTCTTGTAATAAACAGCTAAATGAGTGAACAAATAAGGTACAATTTTTTAAAAAAAATTCTTACACTTAAATTTAAGTTTAATCTTCATACAATATTTTTAAATTCCTGGAGAAAATGATGAACTTGTGCTCTATTTACTGGATCTTCTAATGAAGAAGAATGGACGGCCCTCGATGAAAGCCTGATGGAAATACACTGGCATGAGTTCTTGCTTTGGTGGGGAGCTTCTTCACAATCAATAAACTCAATGAGAGTGATAGAGTGATAGAGTGATAGAGAGACAGAGTGATAGAGTGGGCTGGGACCACAAGGAGGTTAAAGTGACAACAAATTTCCTTACTGGTGCAGAAATAATAGTAAAAGTTCCAATTTGGGAAAGTGGAAGAGCACAGAGAACACTGATAAGGGCTGAGAGGATTTGAGTTATTGAGAAGAAAGGCTTGAGGAAACATTATTCCAGTCTGTAATGCGATAATGAAAGGTGTAGGAGGGTCAAGCACACTTCTCTGAACTCTTTCCTTCTGTGCCATGAAAAAACGATTAAGCTATATAATAGGGGGTTTGAATGAACTGCATGCCATTAATAATTCTTTGAAATCATTGTCCGTCTATGTTAATGACTGCTAAGTTAATCAGCTCATCACTACATCTGTAAGATGTCTATATAAGTGAAAGTCACCGTATATTCAAAAACAACAAATAAACAAACAAACAAAATATCCTGAAGCCTGCGTTATTTCCTCTGAATCATTATCAGTTACTGTCATAATTTAGGGGAGGGGGGTGTTTCTAGCTTGAACTACACTGGAAATTTGTCACCCAAGGTGGGTGTAGGGGGGGTCAGTGGGGACTTGGAGTGAGGAATATTCTTTATCAAATTGAGGTAACAATCAGGAAAAGTGTTCCAGCTATAGGGACTGATGCAGAGCAGGAAAGGAGTCTGAGATTGGCTCAGCCCTCATTTCTGACATCGGTTTTGGCAGCATATGGAAGCTGCAGTGGGAAGTCTCCCTCTCCATTAATTTGGAGATCGGGGACATAAGGTCACCTTCTGAGTTAAATTAGCAAAATTCACAGACAACGAGTGTGACTAGTCATCTGTTGGAGTAAAGCAAGAGACCATCTGAAATGTGTGGACCTCACAAAACCCCAATTAAGATTGGTGATTTGGGTGTAAACAGAGGGAGGCAGGTCCAAAATGCGAATGCCATTTAGTAGAAGATATTTAATCAATTGAATTGTACATTGCCAGGAGGAAGACTCTGTACAAGTGGGTGGGGGGTGGGCAGAGGGGGCAATGTTCAGCTTGGGCCACACGAAATGAAAACCCAAGGAATGTTAACGTGGCAGTGCCCAGCCGAGCAGTGTGTGCGGAGGAGAGCCTCGCGCTTGGTGGTGCTGAAGTGTGCCCGGTGGTGGGACAGCAGTGCCTCTTCTGATCTGTCTTCTGCACGACTGTGCCCTTTGCTCAGCATTTGTGTTGATCCGCTGTTGGCCTCCAGGCATTCTGATTCTAGGCCTGGCTGCCCTGGGTTGTGGACATGAGCTTTCAGTCCCTGGGAAGAAATGTCTCCCACTATAAACTTGTAAGTTTGCCATGAGAAGCTTCGTGGATTTGATCGATTCAGGTGACCCTAGATTCTGAAAACTTCAATGAGAGTGAATGCTGGAATTTGAAAAGTGGTCAGTTCTTCAGGGCTTACGATCTATGGGGCCTCTTAGTAGGCAGCTACAGCCTTCTCTGTGGAATGCACTGACCTCATCTTCAGTCCCTTTCTGCCTTCAGCAGACAGTACCACCATATCCATTTAACCTGATCAGAGTTCTTAACCTGATAGGACTCAATGACCTATTTTCTAAGTGAATATTTTGTTGGGTCCCATTTATTCTGAAAAGAAATTCACAAATAATAAACCTACACACATATTTAAAAAATAAAACTCAACATAATGTCTTAACTATAAAAATAAAGAAGAAATACTGATAGAAGAAGAATACTTTGTAATAAAATAATATGTATTGGAATAATTAATGCTTGGGGATGACTAACTAAAAGATAGAATGAAATAGCCCTGGCCAGTGTGGTGCAGTTGGTTGGGCATCATCCTGTGCACCTAAAGGTTGCTGGTTCAATTTCCTGTCAGGAACATGACTGGGTTGTGGCCTGGATCCCCACTAGGGGGCATGCAGGAGGCAGTGCTCAATGTTTCACTCTCACATCAATGTTTCTCTCCCTCTCCCTTCCTCTCTCTAAACAGTCCTCTTTTGCTGCAAAAATGCTTAGAGAGAGATAGAAATAAATGAGGCTTTCATAATAATTTCTCACAAAACCAAACAAAATTACTTAAATAAATAAAAAAACAGACTTTAGCCACTTCACCTTTCAGAAGAGTGCCATATTATCTCATTTCCTGGTTATGTGGCTCTTTTACTTAGAAAAACACCTCAAGGTGTCTGTTTTATTGTGAAAGCAGGGCCCAGGCTCATTGAAATGGGAAAAGATTATGATAAAGGTAACAATTATTCTATTTGATCATTAAGTTATAAGATGTTACAGTTCAATACTGGCTTCTTCAGAGGGTTTGAAACTCTGGGAGAGAGAGTATTAAGAAGAAAGGAAAGAGCCCAGAAACCTTGCGGACTGAAAGGAATCCAGAGCAACTAGCCAATGAGAAATGTCTAGTAGCAAGAAAGGCTAAGGACCTACAAACAGTGATATCTCATACTGAATTTTAGGTTGTTGGCTGGTCTTAGCTAGTGTCTCAAATAAATACGACAATCTTGGATAATGGGGCTTTTGGCAAGGGAGGAACAGGAGAAGCTATGGGAATGGAGAACTTATGGTGTAAGGCATTTAAGAAAATCTCTGTTCTGTCATTAGCTGACCACTAAGCTAACAGCAGACTCATCAGTGGCCACATGAGATTACAGAATTAGTTCAGGAAGTCACTAAAACAACAATAAAAATCAACAACAACAAACTCTGGAATGAAAGGGGAATTTGATTTTTAAAAATGCTTACAGGGCATTTATTGAAAAAATTA